CAACTCTCACATCCATACATGACCACTGGAAAAACCATAGCCTTGACTAGATGGACCTTTGTTGACAAAGTAATGTCTCTGCTTTTTAATATGCTATCTAGGTTAGTCATAACTTTTCTTCCAAGGAGCAAGTGTCTTTTAATTTCATGGCTGCAATCACCATCTGCAGTGATTTTGGAGCCCCAAAAAATAAAGTCAGCCACTGTTTCCACTGTTTCCCCATCTATTTGCCATGAAGTGATGGGACCGGATGCCATGATCTTAGTTTTCTGAATGCTGAGTTTTAAGCCAACATTTTCACTCTCCTCTTTCACTTTCATCAAGAGGCTCTTTAGTTCTTCTTCACTTTCTGCCATAAGGGTGGTGTCATCTGCATATCTGAGGTTATTGATATTTCTTCAGGCAATCTTGATTCCAGCTTGTGCTTCCTCCAGACTGGTGTTTCTCATGATGTACTCTGCATATAAGTTAAATAAGCAGGGTGACAATATACAGCCTTGACATGCTCCTTTTCCTATTTGGAACCAGTGTTGTTCCATGTCCAATTCTAACTGTTGCTTCTTGACCTGCATACAGATTTCTCAGGAGGCAGGTCAGGTGGTCTGGTATTCCCATCCTTTGAAGAATTTTCCACAGTTTGTTGTGATTCCACATAGTCAAAGGCTTTGGCTTAGTCAGTAAAGCAGAAGTAGATGCTTTTCTGTATTCTCTTGCTTTTTTGATGATCCAGTAGATGTTGGCAATTTGATCTCTGGTTCTTCTGTCTTTTCATTTTCTTTTCTTTTCATTCTGGATTCTCTTTATTCTTATCACTTTGACTGTTTTCAATATAATAAAAATAGAGGATTTGACTGACACTTCCTCAAGCAGATGTTCTTAAACAGAAAGTTAAGTGCTAAACATCAGAGGAACTGTTTCTTCTTGAATAGTACAGTAAAGTCAACTCACAACATCTGTCAAGCTGCAATTACCACTGATAATTGCCATCTTTAAATTTAACTGGTAAATTGCTTGTGCATGCATTGCTTCAGTCGTGTCTGATTCTGTGCGACCCTATAGACTGCAGCCTGCCAGGCTCCTCTGTCCATGGGATTCTCCAGGCAAGAATACTGGAGTAGGTGGCCATGCCCTCCTACAGGGGATCTTTCCGACCCAGGGATTGAAACTGCATCTCTTAAGTCTCCTGCATTGGCAGGCAGATTCTTAACCACTAGTGCCACCTGAGAGGCATTCCATTAGAAGCCCTGGCCTTAGCAATCTAATCACTAAGTGAATATAATTCTATACAAGTATATGGTAGTACACTGAAAAGAGTTTTATTGTTAGTTCAATATAGATTGTTACTGTTTTTGAGTTTATGTGTTTTCTTGCTTATTCTAAAGGTTGATATTTTTTTCTCTATTAAGAAATGGCTAGCTTGGTAATGACTTTAAAGCTTTATAAATATACCTAAGTTGATTTGTTTGAAATATTATCATTATTCTGTTAACAATGAATAAGTATCTGTATTTTTCAAAATAGATAAGTTAATGATATTTTTTACTGCTTAGGCAGAAGTCTTTTTTTAAAGACTGCTCATGCAACTTCCTTCCTTACCTCACTCTGATCTTGGCACTCAATTCTGAATTCTTGTATTCTTTGTCCTGTTCTGTCCTTCCAGTTAACCCCTTCATTGAAAAGTCATCAAGAAACATGGATTATTACAAATGTCTGTGTACATCGTCTCATTTCCACTGATTCAAATCTATTCCAGACCTACTATAACAGTTATCCCTCATGACATAATAGCACAACAAACACCTAGTGATTTAAAATATCAACCATTTTATTTGTTCCTAATTTTATTGCCCTCAACTTGAGCAGGGCTCCAGTGCAGGTGGCTTTTCTGCTGGCCTGCCTAGAATCATGTAGGCCTGGTAGGTTTACCGTGACTGCATGGTCTTCGAGTGCCTCATTCATATGTCTGAAGTTGGTGCTGGCTGTTAGCTGGACATACGTCTGCAGGAGGCTGGCTCCAGCTTTGTCGCATGGTGGCAGTGTCTTAAGAGGGTTAAATCCCAATGCACAACTGCTTTTCAAGCCTCAGCTTGTATCATGTTTGTTGATATTCCATTGATCAAAACTAGTCACATGGCCAAGCCCTAAGTCATTAGAGGAGGAAATTATACAAGGTCATGGGGACAGGGAGATGTACTTTATTGGGGGCCTTACTATAACAATATACCATGCCCAGCCTCTGATACATTCTCTCAGGCTCTTGTCCTGCTGGTCTCTCTCTTCATTCTATTGGGTTGACCAAAATGTTTGTTCAGGTTTTTGTAAGATATTATGGAAAAACCCAAACGACCTTTTTGGCCAACCCAATACAAACACAGCTGGACAATCCTTCTAAAATGCCAGTTATTCTGTCATTCTGGGGCTCAGTGGTTCTGAATTAGTGATAATTTTGTTCTCCAGGAAACATTTGGCAATATTTGGAGATATTTTTGGTTGTCACAATTCAAAATGTGGGAGATCCTGCTAGTATCTAGTAGGTAGGGGCCAGGGATGCTGCTAAACATCCTAGGATGCACAGGCTCAGCTACCCATAACAAAAAAATAATCTGGTCAAAAATATCAGTAGTCCTGATGTTGAGAAAGCCTGCACCCTAGCTCATCAACCCTTAGAGGGGGTTCTCCCAATAAAAAGAGAATCCAAAGTAATCTCTTCATCTGGGCATCCCAAATCCTCTACAATCAGGCCCCTTACATATCCAAACATCTTTCCCTTTAATCTCCATCAGGGTTCCTACTGTCCCCTAGATATGCCACACTTGATCATAAGATTAACTTAATAGCTTCTCATTGTCATGACAAAATGAAAATATCAAACACCTTTTAGTTTTTTTCTCTTGCGCCAAATCAAACCATATCTCAGCCTCAGGGGAAGGGTTGGATCCTGCTTTTCCTACCAGAGTTTCTATAGTTTCATTGTGACCTGTCACTTACAAGGACACTGCTGAGCATGTATTACATCAGCTCAGGCCACAGAATGCTTTTCCCTTTCCTTTTTAGTCTTTTTCACAGTTTTATTTTTCATACTAAAATTGATTCATCTGGAATTTATTTTGTGTCAGGTGTGAATTGTAGGTTCAACTTTATTGTTTCCTGACTTTCTACCTAGTTTATTTCTACACTGTTTATTTAACAATCTCTTATTCATGGATTTAAATACNCCGTGTACTAAATTCTCGTAAATGTTTCAGTTTATTTCTGGACTTTCTAGTCTGTTCTATTGAGGAATAGAGGAATTTTGAAAGGATTCTTCAGCTTATAAAAAAGATTCCTAAAGGAATCCTATTGGATTGTTTTTTGTATTTTTAACTGTTTAAAGTACTTCACAAGGTCCTAAGGAATGCTTTTGAATATTCCCAGCAATATCCTCAGGAGAAGGCCAAGTTTACATTATCTGTCTCTTATATTTTGAAGAATTAGAGAAAAGAGAGGAGGAAAAAAGAAACAAGAGTTTCTTTTACACACAGTGTACACACAGTGTAATCAGAGACATAGCCTCCTTCTAAAATGATCTCCTGATTAAGGAATTGATCTGACCTGTCTATCATTCATGGAAACCCACCACCATCAGTAACCTAGGAAAACTGTGGTTCTAGTAGAATCACCCTTTTGTCAGTTCTATATCACCCATGGGAGTTATTTTTGTATCATAGACAAAGTTGGTAGTAGGAATCTAATAGTTGCTTATCATTAGCTCCAGCATACCCTATATTCACTTTTTTCTTCACTTTATTTTAGTAACACTTATAAATGAAATTCAAATATTTATAGCAAGCTGATCAAAGGGACCATAATCACAATATTCACA